TCTTCATGAAATCCTTGAACAGTCAGACTTTAAAAAATCTAGTCGAGTTGTTCTTCAGCATATCACGTCGGGATGTCAGTCGTCACAGCCGGACCGTACATCTCAACCATTGTCTTCGGGGTGTTGCTCGTCCCGATGAAAGTGACTCAGGCGCGCAGAGTACACGCTACCGACACCTTCAATTCTGTCTACTATCAACACCCTCTGCATCGTCAAATCCACCAAGCTTAGTGAACTTATTTTCCCTTATGCAACTTCGTCTAATTTGGAACTGTAAAGAATCTGGACATACCTGTCGTTGGTGAAAAGAAAAAGAAGCGAGCATCAATTGTCGTGAATGGCCGATGTATTCCAGACCTCAATCAACAAAAGAGAGACTCTCCAATGAGAACTGTCGTCCATCAATTTAGGGCTCACCGTAGGGACAAAATCAAATGACATTTTTCACGAAAACCTTCAGGAAGCAAAGCAAAAACAAAAATTACTATCCAAAAATCAAATAGCAACAAAATCAACACACAACTTGATTCTTTAAATAAATAAATAAAATCAGAAATAATATTACAAAACTATTTTACCAAAGCCCTTTTGACAATTCAGAAACCCTAAGGAAACATAAACAAATTGAGGGAAGAGGTTAAACTACGGAATGAGGTTGACTTGTTCTTAGACGTAACGAAACTCCACTCGTCTACCTCGACCCACGAACTACTGCAAATTTCAAGATGTGAATGTCGCGCGTAGAGCCATCGGGCTGATTGCCGGTCCGCCATAGATTCCAAACATTCCAGGGGTTATCGATCTTCAATCCTCAACACCAACGCAGAAGCCTCACCAGTTCTTACTACTCTGTTTAATTTTATTCCAAAAGTAGAAGATCTTCGGCTGAAGAATGCGGGATTTTGGAAATTGTCGATCGTATCTCTGAAAGTCACTGTAGAAAATGCTCCAGAACAAAGAGATTAAGATAAAGGAAATATGTGAGCTGAAAATATTAATGGATAAGAAAAAAAAAATAAAACGTACTCATTCCTACGGAGAAGATTTTTTTCGTGAAAGGAGGAGGAGGTGAAAAGATTTGATTTGCAAAGAATGAGACAATTGACAGGAATCGGTAAATCTGCCGAGAACATCTCCGTTGCGTCCTCATTGCCGCTGCTCAGGAAATGAGAGTGATAAGTGTAGTTGCTTGGGTAGGGTTTGTAAAAAGAGGAAGATGTTTCCGTCTCAATCTTGTGCGCGCGAGATTACTGCGCGCAAAGGAACAAAAGTCAAAAAGCAAATCAGATTTTCTGCGAAGCAAGTGAAATATTAAACTGCATGCTCAACCTTAAAAAGCATAAAAAATGAGGGCAATTGAGGGGTATTGAAGTAATTGTCTATAAATTAGCCACTTGCCAAGCAATGG